TCGCGGGTGAGGGCGGCGGGGTCCCGCGTGAGGGTCGCGGGTGAGGGTCGCGGGTGAGGGTGGTGAGGGTCGCGGGTGAGGGTCGCGGGTGAGGGTGGTGAGGGTCGCGGGTGAGGGCGGCGGGGTCCCGCGTGAGGGTCGCGGGTGAGGGTGGTGAGGGTCGCGGGTGAGGGTGGTGAGGGTCGCGGGTGAGGGGAGCGGGGTCCCGCGTGAGGGTCGCGGGTGAGGGCGGCGGGGTCCCGCGTGAGGGTCGCGGGTGAGCGCGGCGGGTTCCGGGTGCGGTCCTGAGGATCCCGGGGTCCAGCGCTCACCTTCCGACAGCTCCAGCTCCAGCTCCGCCAGGCTCTCGCGCACCTCGACGGGCAGCGGCGCAGTCTCGAGCGGGCACCCGCGGTCGGCCATAGCCCCCGTGGGCGTGCAGGCAGGCGACCACCGCGCTCTCCGCGGCCGGCAGAGCCGCAGCAGTCGCTGGCAGCCGGCGGCGGGCGGAGCGAGGCCCGGGCGGCTCCGCACAGGCGGGGGCACAGGCGGGGGCACGGGCGCAGGCAGGTCTTCTGCGCCGCCGCCCGGCCCAGCAGCCGCGTCTTGCCGCCCAGGCCAGCCCCGGAGCGCGCCTGCGCGGAAGAACGGGCGCATGAAGCGCGCGTGCGCGGCGGGTCTCAGCCCGGACCAGCCTCCCGGCCCCGCCCAGCAACACGAAAGGCTCGCTTCCATTGGTCCAGAGAATGCCTCGGGCCGCCCCGGGCCCCAATTGGGCAAGATGCGAGCCTCTCCCGCAGCGGGCCCCACCCGTGCGTGGGCGTGGCGGAGCGGGGCTCTGGCTCCCGTGCGCCGGCCGCAGCGGGCTCTGGTGGTGCTCCCGGACTCGCGCGGTTCCGCCTGCCTGCATCTGGGTGCTGCGTCCGCGAGCTCCGGCGCGGACGGTGCGCAGACTCCGCGCTCTCCCCCGACCCGTTCTGTGGTGAGTCGTGGGCCAGGTGAGCTCGCGCCGGGAACGCTGTCCTGCGCCGCAAAGGCCGGGCCACGTGACCCGAGTCTGCGGTGATCGTGGCTCCGGGAGGCGTGCAGGGCTCGGTCGCCCTTGCGCTCTTGCGCCCACGCCTCAACAGCACCGCTGAGAAGGAGCAATCGCCAGCCAAGTCCGCCTGCAGGCGAAGAAACCTGCCCGCTGCAGCGCCGTGCTGCTTTTCTCTGACAGTAAACAGCCCACGAGGCAACTGCCTGATGTTAGCTTGGAACCCTGCCTGGCTGGGAGAAGACCTTTGGCACGAGGTTGCAGACTTCTGGGTGGAGGTCATCAAAGGTCCCCCTATCCCAACCTGCTAGGAGCCAAAGGAGCCAGCCCGTGAGGCTCAGCGCTGTCAACCTGGCCGGGCTCCGCCTCCCCGCCGACCGGACGCAGACGTTAAATCTTGGTTGTTTCTCAAGATAATTCAGGCAGAAATGTGGGATGCGGAGGGGACAGCTGCAGTACTATACACGGGGCAACTTAACAGTTTATTGTCTAAGTTCTGGAGACTAGACTTCTGAGATGCAGCAGTGGCTCCATCTGAAGGCCAGCAGTCTGTTCCCTGCCTCCCTCGGCACCTGGTGGCTGCCTGCAGTCTGACGTTCTTGGCTTCCAGATGCATGCATTGCCTCAGTCTCTACCTTCATGTCCACATGGTGATCCGTGTACCCGAATTTCCCTTTTTTATAAAGAAACCATCTGTACTTGATGTGGGTGTACCTAATGAGCTCAATTCTGTCATCTTCGGGATCCACTTCCAAATAAGGTCACATTCACTGGTACCGAGTGTTAAGACCTAGGCATTCTTTCTGGGAGACACGATATCACCCATCACAAGCTTTAAGCACTAGCATGTCGAGAAGTTTTTGTAGGATGGAATTATGATGAAGGAAGCTAGAATGTAAAATCAAATAGTTTCCTAACATATAAGATATCAGTGACCACCTCAGCCTCCTAAAGACATTTCCTTTACATCAGTGACATTAGGTTGATCAGCCAGATGAGCAGGACAGAAGATGCTGGAGAACTTGGTGATACCTAGCTGCTCCAAAGTTGGAGATAAAGGCTGAGAAAATTCAGAGACTGGCTACATCATTTTTTTTTTAGGATATAGGGGTATTATAGAGTATCCCTTCCAAAATAGAGGAATTACTGTATCTGGACCTCCTGCTGTTGAGAAAGCTAGACATTTGATGATTCTTTTTTTTAATTGAAAAATTATTTATATTACTATCAATTCAGATTTTTCTTTTTTTTTTTTTTTTTTTTTTTTTTTTTTGATTCTCTATTTCTCTATTTTATTTTATTTTGACATCTGATGATTCTTGAGCTGGTTCTTGCCTCAGGTTCTAAAGGCAGTGTGTTCCACGCCTCAGAATATTGCCCTGGCCCACTCATGGGAGAATGTGGAAGACCACCAGTTTTGAAAACAGTCCAGAAAGGAAAGCCTCTGCATTAGGTCCAGGAAGTGATGCAAGCAGCTCTCCTGGCTGGGCCACACAGTCTAGCAGGCATGGCATCCGTGTCGGTGGTGAAGAGTGAGGCATGTGTAATTTCCTTCATGACCCAATGGGAGATTCAGAATAAAGGACCTTAAGGTTCTGTCCTGCCACCTGGAGCAGAGAACTGTCTGCAGGGGATTCTATACACGTACACACGCTGGCTTTCTGATGGAGATGGAGCACCTGATTACAAGATACCAAGTGTCTGTGCAACCCAAACTTCTAACTACGATAGGCAACACATAAAGTTAGCTGGACCCAGCAGCAGTCCCCATCAAATGGAAGCAATACATTTGGGATTGAGCATGAGAATGTACAGAGGTCATCAAGCAAGCTGCAGAATGTCCACTACTGTTGTATCTGAGACTGTCATTTCACATGTATGAATGACCATCGGGGGGAACTCTAACTACCAGTTGATAGAAGAAGAAAAATCTTGAACTCTGTTAACTTGGTTCACAGATGATGGGTTAACTCAGTTCAAAATGAAAACAGTAGTCACAGCCACACTCAGGGGTAGCCATGAGAAATGGTGGAAGGAATATACACATGCTCCCACTAGGCAGCATTTCAGACAGGGCTCCAAGGTGAGATGGGCAGCAATGGATGGCCTGGATAGCTGGTCAAGGAAAAGCAGTTTGAAGATGGGCCCCAAAATGTCTGCAAAGTCATGTAGCTAGACATTGCAGTAGGTACTAAGCTTGATGGTCTTTGTATGAATGCTAATGCCCACAACACAGTCTCCATGAAAGAACAACTACCCAACCAAGTGGACAGAATGACGCAGACAGCTGACATTGGACAGCATCTCTCATAACAGCTAAGCTGTTCATGACATGATGGCACACGGACAAAGCAGCCAAAGTTGTATGGATGTGGGGGTTATTCATGAGCCTAAGTGCATTGGTTCTCTGACCAAAGCTGACCTAACCCCTAGCTGCCACTCAATGTCTAACTTGTCAGCAAGAGAGACCAATACTAGGCTCAAAATATGGCTCCTTAAATCAGGAATGAACCAATCTAGTTGATGCTGGAAGTCTTCCACTGTAACATTTCCCATGATGAGCCAGTGGTTCATTTTCACAAGAGACTCATTCCGGATTTGGATTTGACTTTTCTGTCCACAAATATCACCTACAAGTGTTTGTTCCATTGACACAGCTTCCCACCTAACATTCCAAACAGGGATTTGTTGTATACCATGGAAGTGGAGTGGCTGTGGGATCCACCACCTGATGGAGTGCCTGGGTAGAGGCACAGCTGAACTGTCCAGTTGGGGGTACTCTGAAGACTGAATGCTATTTGCTAGGGTACATTAAATTCAAACCATTTCCACAAAGAGAGAGAACAGGTGTCTGAAAACCAAGGGGCAGGAACAAGAGCAGCCCCCGTACCATCATTCCCAGTAACACTGGGGAACTTTGTGGTTTCTGTCCTCCACATTTAGATTCTTCAGGGTCAAAGGTCACATTGCCAGTCAGCCCAGTTTCTTTTTTTTTCCCAAAATTTGTTTTTATTGTTTATTATTTATTTATTTAAACTTTGGGTTTCCATTTTCCAGACGAAAAGAGTAGAAGAGAGGTTTGATATCATGGGAAGAGTCTCTAGGGCTCACTCCTTCTATCTTGAAGATCCTTTAGAGATCCTCCGCTGTGGGACAAACAAAGTATCCTACTGCAGGTTTAATAGCCATCCAGGAGAGAAACGTCCAACCCTGCCACATATCGTGTCATACCACCATCGTTTGAAGGAGGAAGGAGAGGGCTGGCTGTGTAGCTGTGGTAGAGCGCCTGCGTCCAACCCTTAGTACCACACTAAAAAAATAAACATGGGCTGGGGGTAGAGCTCAGTTGGTAGCCAGCAAAGCAAAAGTGAGCACAGGGAAGGAGGGTGGGAGAAAGGAGAGAGGGGGAGAGCGAAGAGAGAAAGAAGAGAGATAGAGCCCAAGGGTTCTTTTGCTCAGTTCAGATAGAAATCATGAGAAGGCCGAGCAAGAGACCCCCAAGCAGGGTTGCTGGAGCCTGTGCTGCAGCACTCCCGACGGCTCTCTGAGGAGCGTCCCAAGGATGTAGGAAATGGAGTTCATACAGGCGCACGCTCAGCTGTGGACCACTGTGCTGCTCAGCTTTTGGCCAGCACTGGAAGAGAGGCTCACTACCACCACCCAGGAGACTGGGGAAATCCCAGGGCAAGCCTGGGGTCGTTGTCCACTGAATCCAGCAGCAGCCATGAAGCAGCAGAAGTGGTGTGGCTGTCCAAGCTGCAGCAGCAGCCACGATGACAGCAGTGGTGGCCCCAGAGACAGCACTGGGCTCCAGCAGGGAGACGCCAGTCTCCCATAGCCTCTGGCTCCATCCCCATCTGATTCCAGCAGTGGCTGTGGTGAGCAGCACCAGGCAGCCCCACTCCACAGGCCAGAACTGCTGGCCAGCTGCAAAAAACAACCCTTGTCCAAGAAAGAATACAGAAAACACCCTTTGGGGAGGGTCTGGCCCTTTCTAATTTGTCTCAGGCCAAATAGGACACTCACCAAGAACACACCAAGAGCCCATAGACTGTGTATGAGTTCTGGGAATTTTGGAGTTCTTGCATCTAGGGACCAGCAGGCAAAAACAAAAAACATATCTTGGCAGCAGAGGAGACAGAGCTGTTTATGTTGGAATGGGGAAGTATGTGGTGGTCCTCAATGGCATCTCTCAGTAGTCCTTTACTCAACTATGTTTAGTAGGGCTGGGCGTGGTGGCCAACACCTGTAATCCCAGCAGCTCAGGAGGCTGAGCCCAGAGGATCTTGAGTTCAAAGCCAGCCTCAGCAACAATAAGGCACTAAGCAACTCAGTGATACCCGGTCTCTAAATAAAATACAAAATAGGGCTGGGCATATGTCTCAGTGGTTGAATGTCCCCGAGTTCAATCCCTGGTACCATAAAAATTAAAAATTAAAAATATAGAGAAAAAGAAACAGTGGTACATGACTGTGATCCCAATTGGTGAGGCTGAGACAGGAGGATCTCAAGTCTGAGGCCAGCCTGGGCAAGTTAGTGAGACCCTGCCTCAAAACCTCAAAATAAAGGGCTGAGGGTATAGCTCAGTGGTAGAGAACCCTTGGGCTAAGTCCCCAGGGCTACAAAAAAGATAAAAAGAAACTAGGTGATCCAGCTTGCATATGTAGCGTGATACATGAGCTACTGGTTTAAGGCACACCCGTGAGACGTCACCTCAAACTTGTAAGACAGGATTACCAAGCAGATGTTGAAAGACAACCTTCAGCAGGCCACTCTGCCCTTCTGCCAGAGCAGCTGCTGCTGGGTGGGGCCCATTACATCACCATGCTGTCATGCCAGACACAGGCAGCAGTGTGCCATTTTCCATGAAGTGCTGCCTACATGTGTTGTTAGGTACCTACACGTGCATGTGTGTGTAGTCTCTGCCCCTGACCCCTGGAGCATGATGCTGTCTTTTTTATGAGCCAGGAGTTGGATGTGTAGTGAAGCCGTGGTAAAAACCCTTGACCAGCAAGCTCCCAGGCTGGTGGTGAGCACAGCCTGTGTGGGGGTGTCACGCTGCAGAGGGTGCAGAAGCCTGCTCCAGTGCTGTGTACCTTCCACCAGGATGTTCCTGTTGCAGCCTGAGTAATAAAGTCCCATATTCAGTGCTTTCCTAGATCATTCCAGCAAACTACCAAACAGGTAGGGAACCACACATTTGTAGTTGGCTGGGTAGAATCCCGAGTAGCTGGGGACCCCACTTGTGGAGGCAGTCTTGGGAGACTGAGTCCCTAACTTGTGAAGCCTGCAGGGTGGTGCCAGAATTGAACTGTGGGACACCCTACTGGTGTCAGTGAAGGCAGAGCAAAATGGAATTAGCAGGCAAGGATCACATAGGCCGGGCAGCACGGGTGCCACGCTGCTCCAGTGTGTTGTCCCCACATTGGCCCACTGCTGTTTCAGACATGGACTTGCTTGTCCTCCCAAAACTTGTCTGCAGACTTGTCCTTTGCTTCTAATCAGAAACCTCTTCTCATGGTGTGGCCCTGGGTTTCTGAGCAAGGACTGTACCATCTTGCCACAAACTCCCATCACCAGCAGCAGCTTGTCCAGTGGTGGGAAGACAGGATGAAGACAGTCCCGGCTGGGATGTGCCCTGATAAGTTCCAACAGCTGGAAGCCCAATGGCTGAAGATCGGAAAGGAACTTGGACCCAATTCTTGCTTTCCAGCCCATGACCCTATTCTGGGAGGACTGCTCCCACCAGATGTGACCAGGGTCCTGTTGAACCAGCAGCCAAGGCTGCTGTCAGCACAGACACACGGGAAGGGGGCTCCTGGTCCCAGAACCCAGGAGGCAGCAGTGAGCAAAGTCTGCGACCTGGGCCTCACCAGCACCTCATGGTACTTGTGCTTCAAGGTCAATATAGGGGAAGAAAAAGAAGTCCTCTGAAGTAGAAGTCACCAGTGTTGTCTTACAGGGGGAAGGCACAGGCCACCCAACCAGCCACAATGCTAGTAGGGGACAGAAAAACAAAGACTATACAAAGGAAGAAGGTGACAGACACCAACGAGAGCCATGACTAGTTGTGCCTTACTTTGAAGTATGCATCAAACACACCCCCTTTCATTTCCTCTGTTTTGGATGCTGGGGATTGAACCCAGGGGTGCTTTATCATTGGGCTACATCCCAGCCCTTTTTGTTTTTTGAGACACTAAGATCCCTAGCCTGGCCTTGAACTTGCAATCTTCCTCCCTCTGAGGAGTCACTGGGAGGACAGGTGTGCCCCATGCCCAGCTCCCCTCTCACTTTACATGAGGGGTCGTGGTGCATTTACTTTACAAACCAGTTTGCAGGCATCAAGTCACAGGGCCTGGAGGACATCTGCATTATAGCCTAGATTGCTGCAATGGAAGCTTCATGGGCCTTGGAGAGAAAGATGCTACCTGGTGTCAGGGAGGTGCATCAATTCACACTCTGGTAACAGGACATGGATAAAAGGCGAGAACAAGTAGCCCGGGGTGAACTCTGCTGACCATCTGCCTGTGTGTCCATCTTGGTTTTGCATGGGGTGTTGGATTCTGCAAAGCACCTGGCCCCGGCATCTCCTCTCTCCTTGGGGACTGTCTTCTGTGGGAGGGGCCTGGTCCTGAGCCCCAGTGACCACTTCACCTGTTGTGCATCTCCAGCTGCTTCACCTTGTGGTCCAGGTCCACCTCATCCGTCATCAGAGCAGCCCAATCCTTGCATCCAACCCCCTTGAAAACCTAGAGTGGTTTTGTTTTCCACCCTGGACTCTTGATGGGGTGATGCCAGAATTGAACTGTGGGACACCCTACTGATGTCAGTGAATGGCAGAGCAAAATGGAATTAAGAGGCATTCCTGGGCTGGACTTTACTGGACCATGATGCATTTTCTTCATCTTTCATTATGAATATTTTCAAACAGTGACCATATACCCACTAATTAAACGAAAGGAATGAGGAACAGTAGGATGATGCACAGTGAAGAGTGACCTGAGCTCGCTCACACGTTTGACTTTCCAGAGTCTGACATAAATCTAGGTTTTATTTTTTCATTTTTTGCCAATGAAAAGCACACACTGGGTGAACCAGACACCAGCACCAGGCTGCTCACAACAGAACAGGGCTTACACTTTGTTCCTTCCCACCTGTGTGCGTTTAAAACTCAAAACTTTAAACAAGTTCCCATCTGTACACTTAAGAAAATAAACAACTGGAAGCTGTCCTCACTCCCCTCCCAAAGAGGCACGGGGCTCTGCCGACGGGCCTGGGGCAGCCATGTAGCTGCCACGCAGAGGCCAGGAGGCTGGGAGCAGGAACGCACAGAGATCTGCCAGAACTGTTCCATGTGGCTTTGCTGCAATGCCTCGAGGAGGGACTTGGTGGCACTTGGGGCTGGCATCAGGGGCTCATGAGGAGTGCCCAGGTCACATGCGCTTTCCTTAGGAAAAAACACCTTTCCTCAAATAGAAAGGCCACAGGTTAAGAGCCACAGGACTTTATTCACTGTTTTGTCTTCTGGCGGCAGGATTTCTTTGAAGTAGAATCTAAAAACAAGTAAAAATAAGGTAGTGATTTCACACATCTTTTAAAAGTAATCTCATAATTTCCAGATGCTATTACTGATTTCATCTCAATTTTGGTAAAAATGAAACGTGGCTTAATTATGATGCTCAAGAAACACTGGGTAGGAGCTGCAGCTGTGGCCCAGGGATAGAGCAAGGGGTCTGATCATCAGCACTACATAAAAGTAAATAAAGGTATTGTGTCTACCACAACTAAAATAAATGCATAAGTGTGTATATTAAAAATACATATCAAAAAAGAGAGAAACAGAACTCAATGTAAGAGAAAGTCCAGGCCTGAGCCAAACTGACTGGCACTGAATGTCTCTCCCATCCACTTTGCACCCAATGAGCATAAGACTAGAGCTGGCAAGGACTGGGCAGAACACCAGCACCCCTGCCTACATTGTCTCACACTCCCAGGGGGAGTTACGTCATTTTAACAAGTATGCCGAGGACTGTCGTTACCTGGTTGCACCCCCACTAGTCTTTGCTGGATCATTTCTAAATGGTGAATATATTCTGTCAAAGAATGTTCTGAATCTTGAGAGGCAGCCAGAGCTCTTTCTAATCTTGAATTTGGGGATGGAGCAGATCTTCAAACCACCAAATGAGGAGAAAAGAGAAAAAAGGAAAGATTGAACCCAACAGATGGTACCATGATGTGTGCAAAGAAGATGGCATCAGGAGCTGCTGTCCAGGCTCCTGGGAAACAGGCACCCCGGGCAGCTTCACATCTTTTCTTTATCGCAGAGAGAACACTAAGACTTTAACAGCAAATGCTACATACATGGTGCTTTAAGAACCAATTCTAGACTGTCTCACAGTTAGAGTGAGTAGAAACTGTCATGTTACTTCATTCACTAGGCCATCAAATATGCATCCTTCACCCCATAGCCTGAGGTAGCCCACCTGCCCTTCCCTTGGGCAAAGCACAGGCTGTCCAGCCCCACTTGGCTGTCCTCCTACCAGGGCCATTTTCCCTCTGCATCTGGTGAGGCCTAGACCTCCTGGTAGAACCAGTATGTGGATCTCGTAGCTCAAGGCACACCTTGCCTTGTCTGGGGGCGGGGGGCAGTGCCAAGGAGCCATAGGCTGCAGGGAGATGTCAACAGAGGTAAGCAAGCTGAAGCACCACACTGACCTCTCCTTCCAGCTTGGAAAGGCTGCTGCTGCAGGTCCAGAGCCTTGGGCAGTGTCCCTGGCGAGGCCAGAAGGCTCGTCCTGGGTTGGTGGGGTCAGTCTCGTTTCTGGTGGAGACAGCTGCTGCTGTGGCACTCGGGGCCCTTCCCCACAGTTATTCAACATCAGAAGAGGAGAAGAAAGAAATGTGTTTGAGTAGGGAGGCCCATCTACCAAAGACTGATAAGCTTTTAAGAGCCTTCAGAGAGTTTCAACATTTTAAAAGTACTCAGATTATACCATATTTTTAAAAGTTTTAGGACCTGGGTTTTGATCACCTGTATTTCATTCCCAGGGCTGGCCCTAACCCCTAGCACTGGCATAGGCAGCCCATGGTTGGAAAGCCTCAGAGGGTTGTGGGTAAGGTGGGGTTGTCCTGCCTCTACCATTTCTGAGGAGTGGGGTCAGGAGGAAAGAGGACAAACTCTGAAGGCCAGGCATGGCCCAGAGTGAAGACAAGTTTTCCTGATGGCCTGAACCATCAAGTCACCAGATGGTCCAGTCCTCTAGACGCTGGGATAAGGGCCCAGAAGTGCCCTGCTTCCTGGTGATGGCCTGCTGTCAGAAAGCCCGCTGTGCACTCTGCAGGGGGCAGGCAGCCCAGAGAACAGCAGAGAGGAAATCTGCCTGAGCCCCAGGTGATGAGCAGTGCCTCGAAAAAGACCAACAGGATGCAGGACCCCGGTCGACTCCATCCAATGCCAGTTACTGAAGACTCTGCGTATTGGCGCTTCCGTGTGCTGCAGAGCCACTCCAGGTGCCAGCATGCAGACCTGGCACTGCGGCTCTCCTCCTGCCTCTGACAGCTGTGCTAGCTGGGCTCACTAGTCCTCACAGTGCCTTATGTAATCCTGAAAAGTGGCTCAACACTGACACAAACACTACGGCACAGAGGACAGGCGTGCACACCTGGGCGGGGGGCTCTGCCTTGTGGTGGGACTCCTTTCCGATCTACCTCTTGCCATTTCTTAACCAGGAAGCGTAACCTACAAAGAAAGGGGACAAAACACATTTAAAACTGCAAAATGGAAATGAAAGGAGCACTGAAAACGCTCCTAGACCTCGCAGCCCCTAAGCGATGCAGACTCCATGACCAACCAGGCTGGCTGCCACTCTGGCTATGCTGCACACAGTATAAGTGCCTTCCCACACACTGGGTCCACAGACCCGACCACAGCTCAGCTCTGCCCTCGGGGTCTAGGTCAAAACCATCTGTGGCACCAGGGACCAGGAACAAGGAACCTTGCAGGCTTCATCTTACCACCAACAGCACCAGACAATGCCAGAGAGGCAAGGAGGCAGGGGCACAATGTGCAAGGAGTGGGTGCAGTCCTCAGGCCGGCTCTCCAGACAAGACCCTCCGAGGTCCTTCAGAGGCAGTGACCAGGGGACTGAGGTCCCAGGCCCAAGGCCCTGCAGGCAGCCTCAGAGTCTACTCACCTTCTCCCCACCCAGCACTCTCCAAGACACCTCCTGGAGCAGGGCCTTCTCCCCACCCAGCACTCTCCAAGACACCTCCTGGAGCAGGGCCTTCTCCTCCACCCAGCACTCTCCAAGACACCTCCTGGAGCAGGGCCTTCTCCCCCACCCAGCACTCTCCAAGACACCTCCTGGAGCAGGGCCTTCTCCCCACAGATCAGATCTGTGGCCTTGAGAAGGCCCAGAGCACAATCCCCTGAGTGCTCTCCTTCGCTTGCCCCTGCCCTGCTGGCCATCAAGCCCACTCTCTGCAGCACCCCAGATGGGCCCCAGCCTGGCCCTGGGAGGGCACTTCCATGGTCATCAGGATGCTTAGAAACTCAGCAATTTTAAAATTAAAACATAAAATGAGTTTTCACCATTGTTAGCTCTGGAATGACTGAAATTCCCAAAAGCACTAGAGACCCACATTCCTGCTCCAAAAATAAGGCCCAAGCCAATGGTAGAGGAGCCTGAAGAATGCTTTCCCAGGAAGACAGGGGTAACTACGTAGTGGGGCAGAGCCTGGGCTGCCAGCGCCAGTGGTCAGGTGCCTGAAGTGGCTGCCAGCTTGGTGAGGGACAGACCTCTATGCACCTAACCGCTGGTCTGTGAAGTCTGACTGAAGAAAGAATGAAGTCCACAAGGAGAAGGCAGCTCCTGATGTCGCTCTGTGTGCCTGCTGGCCGACAACCCTGTGTGAAGCAGTGGGAGGGTGGGAAGTACCCCCTTTGGGCCTCCCTGCTGCAGAGGCACAGCCACACACAACACCACACTGTGCAGACGGCGTCTGTTGTCTGAGGCCTCCAGGCCACTCCTCTCATGAGAAAACACTGCCACATTCCAAGCAGTAGCCTCCACGCTCCGAGAGCACGTGTAGGGCGGGCTTACCTGAGAACCGCGACGACCACCCTGACAGCGGTGCGGAACCTCGTGAAAGGACGAGATGAGGCTCCCTTCTTATCTGCTTTGGAAGGGAACACCCCCAAGTGAGCAATCATGGAGAGTGTCTCCTGCTCTGAATCCTGGAACCCGCCGATCAACAGTAACAGATATTTCTTCTGATAAATCAGAGCTTTTCTGAAGCTCTCTGCTCTCAAATAATGCAGGTACAACTTCTCCATCTGAAGGACAAACACAGCAGGCTCCTTCACAAGCAGCACAGATACCTGCTGCCCCTCATGCAGTACTCTGTGGCTCCTCAGCAAACTATCATGAAGTCAGTCCTAGACACCCTGTGGTGCTCCATCAACCTGTCTACCAGACAAAACCTGGACACACCGCCCCTCACAGCACCATCAGCTGAGTCCCCATGAAGGACCCTGGAACTCCCACCTAAGTAAGGGGCAAACTGGGCCGGCGGGGGGGCGGGGGCGGGTTCACCATGGGTCTGCGGACAACCTGGGTGGCGGACAACTACAGGGACCCAGGAGGCTGCACACAGAGCTCTGTGCCCACACTGATAAGCAGCTTTTCCTCAGAGCCAGCCCACAGCTGGTGCCTCCTCCCTATAAGGGTGTGCATTTTGTGGACGTGCCGATAGCCACACACAGCAGACGAGACTTGCATGCTGTGTCCCTGCATTTGTCTGCAGCTGACCACTGACCAACACATGATCTAAAAGTGCCACAACACCCTGTACCCCGATTCCCACAGGGACATGGTCTCATTCTGTGCCCCAGCACCCAGGTGGGCTTGGTCTTACTCTGTGCCCCAGCACCCAGGCGGGCTTGGTCTTACTCTGTGCCCCAACACCCAGGTAGGCTTGGTCTTACTCTGTACCCCAGTACCCACAGGGGCACGGACTCACTCTGTGCCCCAGTACCCACATGGGCTTGGCCTTCCTCTATACCCCAACACCCAAATGGGCTTAATCTTACTTTGACACTGGAGATATCTGCTTCCTCGCCTGCCTCCAGTGTGGGCCGACCAGGGTCTGAGCACCGAGGAACTGTCCTGTCGTGCTTCCAGGCAGACCTGCCCGACCTCTGTAACGAACCACAGCCAGGACCCTCTACAAAGCTCTTCTTTTTATTTCTGCAGCACTGGGGATTGAATGCTTGGTGCTCCACCCCGGAGCTACATTCCCACCCTTTTTTTATTTTTACGTTTGAGGCAAGGTCTCACTAAGTTGCCAAGTCTCAAGCTCCCTGAGAGGCTGGAGCTGTCTTTCAGTAAGAACACCTTGAGAAGGATGACTAAGAGCAAACTGAGGCAGGAGATCGTGGCCAGGGCCTCACCCCAGGGGAGAAGGTCGTGTGCCAACACCTGGCTTCTCCCAGGACTTCTGTAGGGGAGGCCCAGCATGGATGGGCGGGAGCTGTGCATGGGTCTCCCTGAGCCCAGGATGCAACTGAGGCTGCACTGACCATGGACGGTACACCCCGGTACACCCCTGGCTCCCCTCAAGCACCGTGTGGTGGCTTCTTACAGATAACACTGGGTGCTCAGGAGGCCAGGGCAGGAGGTAGAGACCAGCCGAGGCAGCACAGCCCAACGCAGTCTCAGACCACCCCAGGACAGGAAGGACCGAGACAACAGGTCTGGGGCGGACACCTACGCCCAGGACACAGCCCTTCTGCGCGTGGTGCTTCAAGGTCCTCTCCAGCCGGGACACTACCCTGCGCAGCTCCGCCTCCTCCCGGGCCGCTGTGCTGAGGGCGCTGGTGAGCGCGTTGTTGTCCTGTAGCAGCAGGTCCACCAGCTGGACTTGGAGCTCTGCTGCCGTTTTCTTCTTAAAAGGAGGAAATAAAGAGAGCATGCACATTGTTCTGCTGCCGCTGGCTGTCTTCGGGGTTACAGGTCAGAGCTGGGAGTCTGACAGGAAGCTGTGCAGCTGGGTGCCGCTAACCCTTTACCAGGCAGGAAACACCAACTCTTCTACTCCCATCTTTTCCTCCTCAAGGAAGCAAACTTTTCACAACACTGGACAGCATGAGTAACACGGGCCTGTTACAGTCACCTCTCCTAGTTGTTCTAGGAGTACCACAAACAGAGGTGGCACTCAAAGAGGTGACAAGCAGTACTGTGCTCATCCTTGGGGTCAATGTGCAAGTCCTGTAAGATAGGCCCATGACCTCCCAAATCAGAGGGCACGTAGCAGAGCTCACCAGTGGCTGCCCCAGGACGTGTGGGGGGTAGTGGCAGCCTCCTGACAGCAGGCAGCGTTGCACAACACTCTGGGGGGTGAGCCCAGGGCCCTCTGCCACTGGGCCACACCAGCCCCTTTCATCTACTTTGAGACAGGGTCTGCTCATGGAGGCCAGCCTACCACATGGCTGGGATGACAGACACAGCACCTGGCCACAAGACACTTCTGATTTCATAAACATCACACATTTGTCAGAGACCATGTCAGCAGCCAGGAATTTTTCCAAAGACTGCACATAGGGCACAGAACTTTCCAGGAGGAATTGGGTTTCATTTTTTGCTGTGGCCTTAGAAACAGTGAGTGGGCTGAGCATCCAGGAAGTGGAGAAGCCCATGCCCTGGCAGACCAGCCACTCCAGGGCCAGCTCAGGCCCCGCAGAGAGCACACCCGCACAGAGAGGTTCAGACACCACGCAGCCTTCACTGGACTGCATGGCTGAGCCCCGAAGACTCTACAATATGGCCAAAGCAGAGGGCACTGCACGAGGTCACATGGGGCAGGACCCAGATGGCAAAGCCCCAACAGCAAGGGAGAGAGGAACCACCAACAACCCATAAAAGACCCCGGAGTGCTGCCACAACATCCCTCTGGAGAACCTTGGCCCTTAGGTCAGGGCTGAGGGCGCAGGGTACCTGGGAGGAGGTGGGCGTGCTCAGTTCAGACTTCAGCCTCTGTAAAGTCTGCACTAAAGATGACACTGCCTTCTCGTTGGATACAGTCCAGTCGTGAATCGTCCTGTAAAGGTAAAAGGGCATTCACAAGGGCCACATGTATCTCATGTGCTCTCCTCCTAGCTACGCAAGGACTCCCCGTGAAGAGAGGCAAGGAAAGTGCAGCAGCCATCACCCTCAGCCCACACCCACACCCAGTAACTGCGATGCTTGGGCCGCCCTTGGGCATGATAATCAGCTGTCACCCCCTCCAGCCACCTCTCCATGACTTAGGGGCTGAGAAACCCTCTTCCCGGGTGGTAGAGGGGCACAGTCCCAGGCAGGGTGGCAGGCCCGGCAGGTGGACATGTCTGAGAGGCACAGAAATCTCCAGCCCCACATCACTGAGTACAAGGCCCAGGTGCCCACACGCCTCTGCTTTCTGCTGAAATTCTGGGCCAATTGTTAAAAATTCTGACCGAGAGAGGCTAGGAGTACAGCTCGGCGGTCTAGCGCTTGCCTTGCACGGTGTAGGGCACTGGGTTCAGTCCTCAGCACCACATAAAAATAAATTAATAATACAGGGCAGGAGTTGTGGCTCAGCAGTAGCGTGCTTGTCTAGCACATGCAAGGCCCTGGATTCGATCCTCAGCACCACATAAAAAATGAATAAAACGAAGGTATTTTGTCCAACTACAACTAAAAAATAAATATTTTTTAAAAAAATCAATAAAATAAAGGTAACATGTGCGCCTACAGCTAAAAATGTATTTTAAAAAATCCTGTCCTAAATGAAACTACTTAGAAATTATGCTGCTCTGTACACTGAACCCTACTAGTCAGGAGAACTCGACTAGCTGATCATGTACGGGAGCTTCCTGGCACTGAGTCTGGCCTCAGTTGTGTGAGTGGTGGCCCTGGAGGCCTGGGGCGATGCAGCACAGCACCACCACCCTGCACGAGCAGGGCAGGGTGCCCAGGGCTCTCCAGGTAGCGTGGAGAAAACACATCTGTGTGGAACTCGGAAGCCTGGTCAGATGCCCGGCGCGTCACCGGGTTTTCCTCTGACATGAGAAGGCAGCAGAAGGCAGGGTTTCATCGGGTCTTTCGGGGAAGCCCTGCCCACTGACTTGGCAAGGGAACAAGGGTGAGCCCACCACCACCGCGAGCTCAGAGCCTGATTGCTCCCAGCACCTAGGGCGAGTGGCAGGTGCGGGCGCTGTGCAGGGAGTCACCTGTCCACCGTGCGGCTGACGAAGCTGGCCAAGAGTCCAGCAGCACAGAGCAGCTGCTGGCGAATCCTCTCCAGCTCCTGCCGCTGCCCCTGCAGGAGGTCCGACTCCAGGGAGCCTGGGCGGGGGCCATCGCCCTGGGGCGCCTCCTCCTCCTCCTCCACGCGCAGCCCTCGCACCACCTGCTGCAGCTGCTCCATCTTGTGCGCGTCCCTCTGGCGCTGCAGTTGCAGCTCCCGCTGCCGGCCAGGGCCAGAAACAGAGAAGGCCTGAGGTGAGTCTCCAAGATGAGGGGCTGGGCCTGTGGCGGGCCTCACTGGGGTCTGGCCCACCCGCCCTGAGCGCCCTCCACCTGCACAGGCCCAGCCACGCCCTGGAGCCCATCTTCACTCCTGAAGGCCACAGGGCTGACACCAGAGCCAGGTGAGCCCTCGAGGCCTGCTGGAGAGGAGCCTGTGACGCAGACTCAGGCAGGACGAGCTTCACGCACAACACACCCTCACACGGACGTGGACAGGCCTGTGCCTGCACACACCGCAGCCCTGGGCCAGGTCCATGGTGGTCCTCTGTCCCAAAGCCTCACCTCACCAAGCAACCACCTGCCCTCTTGGTGAGTTAATCTGCCCAGCACCCCCAGGTCCCAGAGGTGCAGGAGGAACACCTCCACACACACTGGAGCACCTTGCGGGGTACCCTGACCCCACAGGGCAGGACCAGGTGCCTCAGAAAGGGCAGAGGGACACTATGACACAGACAGGTCTCCTCACAAGAATCAAAAACATGGACAGGAAGAGCCGAGACTGAGACTGCTGGAGAAGAGCCCAGCCCAGGCCTGAGCCACACAGCTTGCAGGGTTGGGCTGGTGCAGGGGCTCCCCTTCTGATGTCCACGCAGTGCTCCAGCCACAGGGGTGATACAAGAGGTGATTTTACCCATTTTCCATGTGAGGAAAGTAAAATTTATGACCACACAGGAGACTCAGTTTAGTACACCCAGAACAAGGCTCTGAACTTCAGGTTCACTGAAGCTGCCAGAAAACTCCAAGGGCCTGTCCCCACTGCACACACGTCTGGGCAGTCGGAGCCCAAGGAGAGGCCTCCTTGGCTTTTATGCAGAATTGTGGTGCTGCTCACTTCATGAAACATCCAAAAGGAATGGGTGTGGCTCGGGACCTCTGGCAGAGAGGGGCAGAGACCCTGCAGCACCACAATGGTCAGACAGTCACTTCCCAGGTGCCAGCCGGCACGCTAGGGACATCAGTGCACACATAGTGGCCCAGGACCCTGCTGGCGGCACTACCCGATGTCTACACCTCCACAACATTCTTGATTCTTTCCATGTGTTTGGTGATAAAACACAATCATTTAGGAAATTTTTTAATCAGGAAAAAAAAATATTAAGTGCCCCTGACATGTGGGAAATGCGTCCACAGGAGCCTTGATGGCAGTAGATCACATCTCGTGGGACTCCATGCACAGGAGCACCCTGCAGAGGCAGGGCCACAGCAACCGGCAGGCCAGGCGTCCCGGGGCTGTGTGTGAGGGAGCTGAGCCAACACAGCCTTGGCCCGGGTGGAGAGAAGCTCCCAAACACTGCCGGGATCAACCCCCAACTCCCAAACCGTGCGACTGAAGTGGAAGAACCTACTGGTACCCGAATTCTATCTCATGAAGCTGCTGGGCACACCAAGCACACTTCTGATAGGAACTCCTACAGCTCTCATCATACCACTTTAGGATCTGGTTTGTCCTTGAAATGTCTAGAAACCCAGAGTTTTACTTTAGGAAGCAGATGTCCCTTTCCTACTTCACGGCTGGCAAACCCTTGGAAGGTCCAGGCCATTGGTTTTACCTGTGTGTTAAGCACACACACACTCTTTCATGATTTCATAAAATACACAAGCAAGCAGTGAAGATACTGTTTAAAAAGCCCTGAGTGGACATAAAACATATCTAAATATTAAAAGCCTTCAAGACCCACAAAAGAACACTTCTGAACCTGTCCCCTGAGGACACTGGGATTTCAACTCTGAAATGAAAGACATCACAAGGAAACTACATCCAGTGACCCTATAACACAGCTCAGAAATTCCCATCAGAACACCCGCAGAACAAACTCAGAAGCCTGCAGCAAGAAGGGTCTGCCATGCCCACACGGGGCTCGTGCCAGGGACGAGAGGGCATCTCAGATGGAGACCAACCACTTGGCACGTGCACACCATCAGGGAAAAGGACCAGAGCCACAGATCTCAACTGACCCTGAAAAAACACAGACAAGAGCTCCCAAACACTGGGGAGAGCGACCAAAGACTGCCGCCAGGCTGCCTGACCAGAGGACGGTCCACGCCGGAGCTTCAGAAGGCTCGGCTTTTTCTCCCCTTTTTTTGCAGCCCTGCAGATTGAACCTAGGGCTTACCACAAACAAGGAAATGGCTCTACCTCCAGGACATATCCTCAGCCCTTATTTTACCTCGAGACAGGGTCTGCCTAAGTTGCCAAGGCTCGCCCTGAACTTCGGATCCTCCTGTCTCAGCCTCCCAAGCCTCTGGAATCACAGGTGTGGCCCAACCATACCCAGCCAGAAGGCCGTTTCCTGTTAAAAGGTCAGCACTACACAAGCGATCCACAGACTGAATGCAATCCCTGTTGTGACCCAATAGCCTTTGTGCAGAAATGAAACTCAAACTTCAGTCACATGGAATTGCAAGGAGCCCAAATGGCCAAAACCATCTTGAAAAGGAGACACGCTGAAGGAATCACGCTTCCCAATTTCAAAGTTCTCTGCCAGGCTGGAGGAAGTTGCAGGATGAGGTGCTGGCAAGAGGACAAAGGCCCAGGAGGAGCCCCTTGAGGACTGTCCTACCCTTCACTGCTCAGGTTTTCTAAGAACTCCCGAACGGCCGCAGACGGCTCTCACCAGCTTCTCCTTGTCTCTCTGCCACTTCTTCCACTGCTCGGCGTCTGCCTGGCTGGGCCTCGGCATCCTCCTCCTGGCTTCCTTGCGGGCTTGGTGCGCTCTCCCTCGTGTGTGTGACTGCTCTAATTCTGCCTGTGGCCAAGCTGCCTTCTCCCTGCTGCTCTCCAGGCAGCATCTCAGCTCCTGGCTCTGGGTCTGCAGCGTGTCCACCGCCAACCTCAAGGTGGCACTTACCTCCTGCTGCTTCTGGAGCTGCACACGGTGCTCCTGGGCCTGGGCCTCCAGCTGCTGCTGCACCCTGGCAAGCACGGCCTGGAGCTCCTGCACGCGGGCCTTCTCCTCCTTCAGCTTCCGCAGCAGGGCGTGCTGCGTAGGTTTCTCCTGCGTGCTGCGGCTCAGCTGCTCCGTCAGGACCCGCTCGTGCTGCAGGGCCTCCGACAGCTCCCGGGAGCGGCTCCTCTCTGCCTCTAGGCTCTCCTGGAGCTGGGACAGCTGGCTGCGCTCCTGGGCCAGCAAGGCTTCACAGCGCGAGTGCTCAATCTGCAGCTCCTGCTGCAGGTTGTCCTTGGCCATCCGCTCATGCTTCAATGCAATACACAGCTGATTATTTTGAGCATGTTGCTTCTCCAAAGATATTTTTAACTCCTGCATTGGTGAAAAAACAAGATGGGGAAAAGTAAATAATTGTGAGGAAAAGCATCTAAGTAATTTTTCCTGCCTAGCATCTGTTCATGAGTTGTGACCCAGGGGTTGGGCCTTCCCAAGTTTGCACACACAGGAAGACTTGCTTCTGTCGTCTACGACAGGCGTGGAAGTGGCCTCACGTCAACAGACACACCCGCCCACACTCAGGAGACCCCTCCTTCTGTCCTCAGAAAACCACAAAACCCAGGGCCCAAAGACACACATGTGCTGCATACTGTGAACCAGGATTCTGAGAGGCAGGCGCCCTGACCCACAGAGCTGACAGAGAACCGGCTCTGAGCAAGAGGTCACTGGTTAGGCCTACACAGGACAAAGACGCTGCATTCCCACCAATGATCTGGGCCATGCAGAGACCAGGCAGGCTGCACGGACAGTCAGGGAGAAGACTGGCCCACCTTCCAGAGATGAACACTCGGGGACAGCAGGGACCACTGAGCAGAGCCATGTGCCTTCATAGGCCACCTGGGCTGCCCCTCCCCAGTGCAGTGGTTCTGTCAGCGCAGAGTAGAACTTTGCCTAAAGACGCAGCCCTCTCCCACTGCCTCAAGCTCCCACCAACTGGGCACACTGCTGGGAAGGAGAGCCAGGCGGGCGGCAGGCGTGACGGTGGGGGCCGTTTCTGCATCCTGCTCCTGACCTCACTGGCTGGAGGCCTGGGCGCCCCTGTTGCCCAGTTACCTCCAGGGCCTTGGCACTCTGGCCCTCCCTCTGCAGGTGCTGCAGCTGCTGCTCCTCCTGCTGGGCCTGGAGGACACGCTCCTTCCCACGCTCACACTCCAGTTCCTCCAGCGCAGCCTTCAGGTCACTCTCCTTCCCGTCCAGCAGAGACCTGTGAGGCGACAGCCGGGGGCACTGTGTGCACATCAGGAATGCTGACAGGAAGGCAGCCTGCCACTCCCGCTCATCTGTGTGACTCCATCCCTCATTCCCAGACCCAAGCCCAAGGGTTCTCTGCAAGCCCCGCAGCAGATGGGGCTGAGGTGACCTGTGACCCAGCTGACAGTCAACAGGGGGCTGCTGGGGCATACCTCAGCTGGAGGGACTCCCGCTGCACCTCATCAAGGGACTCCAGCAGCCTTGCGTTCTCCGACTTCAAGTCCTGCGCTGCGCTCTGCTCCAGTGCTAGGAGTCTGCGGACATCACTTGCCGTCTCCTGCTCTTTGCTCAGGGTTCTCTGCAAGTCACTTGCTATGCACTTTTCCTGCTCAAGCTTGTAGGCCAACAGCTCAACTGAGAGAGATCAAAACACAAGACGGCGTTACTCAAAAAGAGTTCCAAGCGTGTGCGAGCAGGGCTGAGTCAGAGAACTGCTGAATAGGTGGCGGGGACGCACTCCTTCGTCCTGAGTCCATCCCTCCTAGGCCGGCTCTCCAGAAGTAATGACGTGCCCTCAAGGCCATCCCCAGGGCCAGCCAGTCCTGCCACATACTCCCGCAGGGACAAACCTGCGTGGCTCTGCAGGAGAATCTCCTGGAACCAATGGAAGAGATCACCCAGCTCTGCACAGACTCCTCTGGATAAGAGGAGGAGGAGACATGCCCCACCCATCCACGAGGTCAGTGCTTTCTATGCAACAAAGCCAGAAAAGGGTACATGAGAGAGAAAGACCACAGACCAGGGCCCTTGCAGACACAGGACGAGAGCAAGTACAGCCTAGAATGCACAACTGGGCAGAACCCAGCACAAGGCCATCTGCAGAATGCTCCTCACACTAAGGAGTGACCAGTACAAGAATGGGCATTTACCCAGGTCTGACTTGCACAAAGGCCAGAAAGCCAGTGGGGAAAGAACCAAAAGCATCACTTACTCACAGCTGATGTAAGCAACTACAAAAAACTGCCAAAGAACTAAAATTGAAAGTGGAAACACATTCCACTCCCAAGGCCTCCCACACGCTCACAGAAGCAGGGTTCTGCAGCCTGGGTGCCCCATGAGACCCCAGCACTCTGGCTGAGGGCCTAGCTGCCACTGTCCCATACCCCACAGGAGCACACCCAGTGGGGGCCGTGAGGTTGGAGGCACAAGGCAGCAAGAGCAGTGACACCCACCCTGCCTGCGCAGCTGGTGCTCCCGCTGGCTTCCACGGGCCTCTGCACTGGTCAGCGCTGCACACAGCTGCTGCAGCTTCTCCTGGTTCTGCAGGTGCGTCAGACGCAGCTGGGCACGCAAGGCCTGGACCTCAGACAGCAGGCTACTCCTGCCCTGCAGGCCTCCCTGTGAGAGAAGAGACATGGCGTGAGGCACAGGACTGGCAGGCGCTGGGGAAGGAGGCAGAATTTGTGCATACTTGTCCCTCTGCAGCCCACCCTTGCAAGCCTGAGCTTCCAGCACTGTTGGGACAGGCTACGGACCCCAGGAGTGTGGTGGGTGCATGGGCCCCAGCACCCCCACGGCTCTAGGCCCAGGTGGAGCATTGGCCCCTGACCCTCAGCACCCCTTGCCTGTCAGGCACAGCGGTGCAGCAGGCTCTGGTGCCCTGCAGTATCCTCATCCTCTGGCCCCACATGCAGAGTGCTGGGCAGCCCGGAGGCTGGTGTGCCAGGAGAGTGAGGTTCAGGAAGAAGCAGGGGTGCTGGCCTCTAACAGAGCCAGGGTCCTGGACTGAAAGGGTGCAGGTGCGGGGCTGCTGCTCACCTGCTCTCGCACAACCTTCTCCAGCCGCTCAAACAGGAAGCTGTAGTCCACTGGGTCTGGGCCGCTGGGCCTTGACTGCAGTTCCGCCTTCAGTTTCTCCCGCTCCCTCTCCAATGCCTCTTGAACGGCCTGCAGAAACCGGCCCCTCCAGTCGAGATGCGTATCAGAAGACTCCTGTCATGGCGAAGCAAAGTCCCATGCTGGGCTGGGAGTGGCAGAGTGATGGCCAATCACTGCCTGAGACCCCAGCTTCTGTCCTCAGCCCAGCAGAAAAAGCCTCCATGCTCTCACCAGTGGGTGCTACGGGTGCTCTCCCACACATATGCTGGACCCCCAGCCCCGCTGTGACCGCACTTGGAGGCATGGCCTCATTAAAGTTGAGTGGGGCCAGGGGTGGGGCCCTGCTCCAACAGGACTGTGGCTTTCTTTCTAAGAAGAGGATGAGATAACAAGTGCTCTCTCTCTCTCTCTCTACCATTGAGGACCCAGCAAAGAGGAGCCATCTGCAAACCAGGAGTCAGACCTCACCAGAGCCCAGCTGTGCTGGCTCCCTGATCCCAGCCTCCAGTCTCCAGAGCGTCAGAAATGAACGTCTGTTGTTTAAGCCCCAGCCTGTGATTCTATTATGGCAGCTGGGCAGGAGGAGAGCAAGAAAAACCACTCTGACAAGGAAAGGAGACCAGAGGGCCCAGGGTCACTCAGTGCCAGATGCGAATTACTGTCATAAGCAGAAACAGTGAAGTAAGACCACACGAAATGCTCACACATTTCTCTTCTCTTGGGCTGCTGCACCCTCAGGGCCTGGTCTAGAGAAAGCCAAGATTGTTATGGCTACCCTGCTGGCACCTGGCAGCCTCCAGGGGCCATGGCCAGGAGTGGGCACACTGCTGCTCAAGGACAGGGTAGCATGAGCCAAGTACAAGCAGGCCCAGGCACCTGTGGGAGGGTAGAGTCTGCACATGCTATCCAGGCCTACCCAAGGGCCGTTAGTGGGGCCGGGCAGGCGGCACATCCATGGGCACCAGCGGCTCCCAGCACCAGGACGTGGCTCTTCCCTCCCTTGTGGCCCTTTCATCCAGTGGGAAAAGCAGGTGTCGGGGACTGAGAGCAAGAGACATCACGATGAGGATGGAGCATGGGGAGGGAGGTGTGGGGCCTGGTATGAAACTCAGAAGGGTCTTGGCATCCATTCTGTGTGCTGAGGCAGTCCCTGGGCACTGGGAGGGGCCAGGTCCAGGCGACAGCCTGAGGTATAGCCGTGCAGGGTGAGGGTGGTAAGGACCAATGGGGTCAGTCTGCCTGTCCCATGAGCAGGCCCAGATATGCCTAGAGATCTCAGAGCCATGTGACCCGCTGGGCTTCCTTGGTCCTGCCTCCCCAGAGCCCTGCCTGCCTTCCACTGATCCTCTCACTTCCAGAGCTCATCAGCTAGGGGCGTGCACAGCGGTGCAGGGGTGCCGTATGGGGGCTTTCATCTGTCCTAGCCGTGCGACAAAACCCCCGTGTCTGTGCACAGCTCCCCTCAGACCTGGCTGTCACTCTAAGTCCTCAAGGTCCTTTGAAAAACAGATGTGAGATGCAAGTAAAATCGGATCTTTCCCGGGATAGAGTGAGGCTAGTGGCAGAGCACTTGCCCAGCATGCCCAAGGCCCTGGGTTCTATCCCCAGCACCCCCCACCGACCCCCCAAAAAATAAAAGAAAAAACAGACCCCTGTATTTCTCACTCACTGAGCCAGTGATTCCATACCTTCTCTCCTTTCTCTGGGGCCCCCTCCAGCAGGCCCTGCCCCTCACTCGAGAAGTAATCCAGGGAGGCCCAGGGCTCACCCTTGCTCAGAGTGCTGGGGAGGCCTCGGCTCTCCGATAATGCCAGTATCTGGTGGCTCTCGTCACACACCATCTGCAGCAAAGCCTGCAGCGGAAACACATGAGGAAGGGGAAACGGCTCGCAGCCACTGCCACATGCAGCCACCATCCAGGAGTGCACTGCAGGGCAGGAGGATGCTGCCTGCACAGTGGTGGTGCCCGCTAAGGGAGCACACAGACAGCCACCAGCTGTCCTCACCACGGGCTTCAGACTTCCCTTCCCAGCTACTGGAGGACCTCTGCTCCCTCTCTCCTTCCTCCCAGGAACACCATCTTTCCTCCAAGCTCGGGCCCAGCACCTCCCCAGCTCTGAGACACTTTGAGGAAGCTGCTCCAGGGCCCGTGTGCATAGCCAGGCTGCCACCAGGACCCTCAGCCGGCACAGGGCTCAGTGGAGCATCCGTGGCTTCCCCACACCACTGCGTCTGGGCAAACTACAGGAGTGCCAAGTGGGGAAACGCAACACTAAGACGCTGAGCGGTGAGTGCGACCTGGCCACCCACAGTAGAGCCGGCTGCGATGCTAAGGACACGACCAAGACAGGACGACTGACATGTGCTGGAAACCCACCGTGCTTACGTGAAAGACAACTTTAAAACAACGTTTCTGGACACATGAGGCCTGGGTTTGGTCCCTAGCAGGGAGAAGAAACACACTGTCTCCGATGCTAAGAAGGTGCACACTGAGCCCTGCCCGGAGGAAGGGTGGGCCAGGTGGGTGCCACTGGGAGGCAGAGCCCACCCACCACCTCCATCCACACAGGGCCCAGTGACAGTTTCCCTGGCTACAGACAGCGGGCCCCTTTCTACTTTGTAAGTACGCCATTTCTGGATTTTGTAACAAAGAGAAACATGTTTTAAAAGCACGCCTTGGACAGAAAACTCACAACCCACGGCCCTCTATGTACAGCTTCCCAGCCAGGGAGTGCTGGGTCTCTGCAGCCCTGGGTTTTCTGTGAGAAAACCTTCTCCACGTGGACAAGGCCCAGACCCAGGTCGTGGCGCACCAACAGCACCTGGACGCTGGTGGCTCAGCCCGGGGCTCTATCACCACGGCTTCCGGGAGCCAAGCCTCTGCTCTCGGACCTGGGGTTCTGTCAAGGAGCAATCTCCACGTGTGTCCCACCTGCATGTGGCCTGCCACCCTGTCCAGAGGTCCTCACTGGCTTCCCTAAGCCACAGCTCTTCCTGGTGTCGCCTCACCTCAGGCTGCTTATCCGCTGTATTCAAGGGCTCTCTGCGGATCTACCATTGCAAGCCCAGCCTTCCACAGCCTCTCGGGGTAGAGCTACTCTAATAGCAACCACAAGTGACCACCCAAAGGGGCTACCCCCCCAGGGAGCACAGGGACTACGGGGGACACACAACGGACACAGGAACCACACACGGAGACCACACAAGGTGGCAGGCATGCTCCCACGATGCACTGTGGCACCAAGGCAGGAGCGTCGCCCCTGGGGCTGCCCCGTGGCCCTCACCTAAACATAGCATGGCCCTGGTACTCTGCACTCCAGAAGACATCTAAAACAACACAGGGAGACAGTGCACTTGGGGCAATTTAAGAAATCTACAAAAATCACATTTGGGACTTTAAGTTCTGACTCAAATAACCACAGCCCTTGGCCTCACTGCAGCCTCTTGATGGCTTCCTCAAGACTTCCCTGAAGTTCTTGTTTTTTTTTTTTGGTTAATTACTAAACTTAAGTATGAAGAATTTTCATTAACAACCTAATTTACTCCTTAAAATTTGGGAATTATACCTGAATTCCACCAGAGATCCACCTCCAAAACCAAACCAAACACACACTATCATTTCCACCCAATCAGCCACAGATGATGATAAATAAATGCAGGAAGAGGACTCTCCCTGTGTCTTAGGACTAACACACACGCACTTGACCCCCACGAAGTGCTGGTCCCTACCTTCATGTGCAGGGGGTGCACCTCCTCCTGCATCACTCCGGGTGGTTGATGTGACCCTCTGGAGACGAGAGCAGGAGTGGCAGAACCAGCAGTGGGGACCTCGCGCCTTCCCAGTTCTGGGCTCAGCATCATTCCAAAGCCCAGGCTGCCACCTACAGCACCACATGGTGAGACCAGGCCACAGAGCCCACCTCCAGCTGCACCACAGCTCCATGAGTGCAGGGGAGCTGAGGAGCACCAGGCAAGGCAGTAGAAACCTCATCAGGTCAGGGAAGGCCACCCTGCATGCCCATGCCAACGTCCACGCCTGGAGGAGAGCTTGGGGACACCGCGCTCCTAAGCACATAGGGCACGCAGCCCTCACTTGGCTGACAACCTCCCCAAGCCAGCACGCTAGCGGCTGCACACATGGGCCTGTGCTCTACGGGCTCAAGGAAGGGAGCAAGAGTGGCAGGGAACAGACGGTGTCGGCCCTGAGGCGAGCGGGCAGCAGCTGGGCAGGCAGCAGCCATGTGGTCCAGAAAAGGCACGCATGCCTGATGAGAGTGCCCAAACACAGCTGAGACAGGGCACCGGTCCTCTGACAGGAGGGGGCTTGGAACCTTCCCAGGTGTGCAGCCCCCTCTGATCCTCAGGCCCCCGGCAGGCAGGGCAGTGAGGGGGTGGCACCTTCAGAGCACCCAGTTCCAGACCCCAGCAGAAAGTGAGACGTCCAGAGACAAGGCCTCACTGGAGGATGGCCAGTCCAGGTCCTCAGACCCAGAAGAGAGCATGCTGGGAAGAAACTGGATGTGCAGCCCACAGAAGGCAACGCAAGAAAAGCAGCTACCATCTCCAGGGAAACAAGACGAGGCCTGCTGCTACAAGGCCAAGACACAAGGGTACAGGACGGAGCACCCAGACCAGCCTCTCAGGAATCCAAAGTGGGAGAACAGAGACACACTAGCACCAAGGTTAAGAAGCTCCACAAAAATGTGGAGACGAGGACAAGGAGAAAAACTAAATTAAAGAGATCAGAAAATCAGAGCAGGGGGTCTAATGCTTCATTAGCAAAAACTACAGAAAGAAGAGAGAAGGCCACAGAATAAACGATTAGAAGGAATAAGAGGAAGCTCTTGAGGCTAGCAGCTGCATGCCGCCCCAACTAGGCAGCCCTGTAGGTCCCTGGTGTCACTGAGGGTGTGTGGAGCTGCAGGACAGGGTGGGTAGCATTCCAAGTCCAAGCACACATGACTCCCAACCCAGGAGTCTGTACCAAGGCAAACTCCAATGAGACAGAGACAGGGACAGGGAGTCTCCGGAAGCCTCCCAGCACACGCTCCAGAGCTCTGGGAAGCCGCTTCATTCCAGCACAACACCATTAAGGAAGGAAGGGGCTGCCCAGGCATTAGAGGTGCTGGGGGGGCTCAGGGGACACACAGCTCAGGCACGTGGGTGGCCCAGCAGCGGGTGTGCAACAGAACAGGAATAGAGGAAATGTATGCTAGGGACACTCTGCAGGGACACAGGCACAGGCACTCACAGAGCTGGGCAAGACAGCACCACTGCTATGAATGTCATGTGAAGCGGCAAAGGTGACTAGAAACAAGCAAACGTTTGTTCCCAGAGTAGAATGTCGAGCGTCCCCAGAGAACAGGGACCCAAAGTCATGGCAGACAGGACAGCAACAGCAAAAAGCTACTTCATTAGCATTCATCAAGTGCTAAATTCCCAATGAACTATATTTCACCATGATCTCATTCTCAAAAACCAATGGAAGAGGCAATGATGAATCAAAAAACAAAAAACCAAAACCTTGATTGCTAACTTGAAGAGAGACACCCTCACAGGAGAAACCGTCAAGTCAGATGAAGATGTTTGGCAGCCACAGTGGTGAGGCCAGTGTGTGAGGGCCCAAGCTGGGGATTGAAGTCTGCAGCCCTCCCTCAGGACCCCGCCCTGGGAAGCACAAGGAAAACCTGGCGACTGCCCCACAGCCAAGGTTCCTGCGGTGAAGACCCAGGAGGACACAGCAGCCCAGACACCCTGGGAACACCCAGACACAGGTGTGCCAAGGAGCAGCTCAGAGCAGCACCACTGCCCTTCCCCAACTTCAGGAGGCAGAGCCAGTGGTGCTGGCTGCTCTGCCCTAGCTGACCTCCCCATGTCTGCCCACCTGCGGGGGCTGCCACGAGGACATCAGCAAGGCCAAGGGGCCAGCTCTAATGCTGAGTGAGGCGTGGAGCTGTCTAGGAAACGCACGGCCGGTGCGGAGTGCAGTGCAGCCAGCAGCAGGTCTGCAGCTCACCAGTGGCCAGGGGTGTGAGGATGGGCATCCTGGGGTATGCCTGAGCCCTGCTCCCTCTAAGAGGGAGAGCAAAGCAAGCCAAGACTCACTGTGTTCACTTCCATCACAGTCCCCTGCCAGGCCCAGAGGAGACGATCTTCGTGTGTCTTGAGAATTAGAAGCAGTTGCGATAAAGTCCTCGACGTCCTTCTCCTGCAGACAGACAGACAGACTCTGAGAAGCTACAGAGCAGCAGCTGCACGGCTCCACTCACCAGCCGACCTCCTCTGGGCCTCTACTCCCCTCGCACCCACCGAGGCCAGGGCCTCCTCTGAGCTGCATCCCCAGCCCTGGTGAAGTCCTGTTGAGAGGCAGGGTCTCGCTAAGTCGCCCAGGCTGGCACCCTCCTCCTGTCAGCCTCCCAAGCAGCAGGAATCACAGGTGTGGGCCCCACGCCTGGCTTGGATGGAAGCTTCTAGGGCCAGAATTGCCATGTTCCCACTCGAACAGCACGTGCCAGCATTCAGAATCTGAGCCCTCTGGGCCCCAGGCTCCACTATTGACTCAAATGTGCCTACGGCACTTGAGTGGGCTCCACAAATATGTCAAGTAGTCACTAGCAAATACTTCAGATTTTTAATTTTTTGTGTGAAATGATAGTATATGGATACTTCAGAAAACACACATCCCCAAAATTATTTTTATTTTAACTAAAGATACAAAATCCCAAAGTTGTTGTCAGGAAAAACATCATCTGATTAAAAAATGATACATTGTTCTTAAAATTAACTTGCATAGGGCTGTGGTTGTGGTTCAGTGATAGAGCGCTTGCTTAGCATGTGTGAGGCCCTGGGTTCGATCCCCAGCACCACTTAAAAAGTATTAAATAAAGGTACTGTGTCTATCTACCACTAGAAAAAAATGTTTAAAAAAATGAACTAGCACATGTGCAACCTGTGAGATGTGAAATGTTACTGAAAATAAATCTAAAACCATTCTGGACAAGAATCCTCATGTCAGTCAGGCCAGCAGATGGGTTTGTGACTCTGGTGCAGGGCGCTGGCATCAGCTGACACACCAGGCGGGTTGCTGAGGCAGCTCTTGTTGGAAAGGCCCGAGTGACCCTGGGGTCCTGCCATCACAGCCGCAAGGCCCCTGCACAGGCAGGTGAGCCAACAATGGCGCTGCTGTGATACGTCCCCATGGGAACCCTGAGTGGGGCAGAGCAGGGAGCACCTACCGCAGCGGTGCTCTCCATGTGGTGGTGGTGGTGGTACTCAGCTGGAAGGGCTCCTGCCCACTGCAGGGCTGGTCCTGCTGCTGACCCGCCCGGGTAACAATGCAGCTCCGACATGTCGGCCTGCAGCAGCGAGTCTGCCCCGGGCTGGGGGGAGGCCATGACACTGGGCAGGCTCAGAGCGCCTGAGCAGGGTGTCAGGGGGAAGCTGGGCTGGGGGTCCAGGGTCGCATCCTTCCGGAGGACCTCAGGAGAGCTCCAGGAGGACAGGTCCAGCACCCTGAGTGGGTCCTTCTCAGGCTCAGCCTCCTTGGCATGGCAGGACTTGCTGGGATCACTGGTCTGTGAGGAAAGGGGCTCGTCCTGTGCCTCTGATGGTTCTCGAGTGGGAAAACATGGCATTTCCATCCTGACCAAGGAATGCCGACCTTTAGTACTGCCAATTAGACCCCACGGGGTCGTGGGGAGAGCAAATGCAGCGACAGGAGGCGAGGCGTCTGCCGCTTCTCCATCGCAGGAACTCTCACTGGAGCTGTTTTCTGACGGGCTGGCCTCTGCCGAGGGCTGCTGGGGCTCAGAGCCCCCCACGTCCATGTCCTGGAAGGCCATGGAGTGTACTAGCCGGTTTAGTTTTTTCTGAAGTTGTTTCACCTGAGCTATGAGGTCGAATTTCTGCAGCTGACAATCTTCCAGTCGCTTGTTCTTACCCTGCAGGTAAGACAAATATGCACACAGTAAACTCAGGGCGCTTCACAGCACCGTCTGGTGCCTGCAGCCCATTCAGGGACTTCCTGGCACGTGCGCAGGGAGAACCCAAGAAAGCCCTCTGCCTGCCAGTCGCTTAAGATTTCAAGCTTGACTTAGTGAAAAGAAAAAAAAAAAAAAGAATCGAGGCTTCAAGGTCTTGGGCCTGGAGAACAACTGCCACAACCATCTCCATGGTCACTGGCTGGCACAGCCTCTGCATATGTGAACAGAAAGAGCCGGAGACCCAGGTAGCAGCCCTGCGAGCAGCAGCTGTCTGCAGGTGGTCTCCTGGTCAACACACACCTTCTAAGGACAAGCAAACACACAGGCTGCAGGGCCGACTGCTCTGCAAACCTGCAGGTGTCCCTCCTGAGGGCTGTGACAGGCTCACTCGTCCTCTCTGAGGCACAGCCCAGGCCCACTGTGGAATCAGTGAGCATGGTGCATGTGGCCCAGGCAGGAGGGGCCAGGTCGGCTGCACCACCATTCACATAAGCCAGGGCAAGGGGACTTTGGTACCCACGCACACCAGCCCATCTGGGAAGACCCGAGCAGAACCGCCCCTGAGGCAAGTGGGGCTGAGTAGTCAGGTGACCGGCAGTGAGGACGAGATGGGGACTGGCTGGCCCAGCAGGGTCACAGGGCACATCCCCCCAGGAGGAAGGCACTGACAGACACCATGAAAAAAGTGTGGAGCCTATGTGGCTGAGGAGCATGGCTATGTGCCTCCTCGCTCAGTCAGAGCCCTGCCGTGGCCTAAGGCTGCTGAGGAGCAAACTCCCAGGGAAAACGTAAGCCAACTCTCCTGGAAGGAAAAAAACAGCAGTCAAGACCTAAACCCTAAAGCATTTCAATGTCGGACTGACACTTGGGGCACAACGGTCTGGAGCAGGGTGAAGCCCGGGCAACGTGGTCCTCACAAAACCCCTAGCTGCTCAGACCAGGGCAAACATGTCCAAAGCCGGTCTTCAATGCGGCTGGCGGAGATCTCACGATGGACAAGGCACACCGTCACGGCTGGGCAGATGCATCCAGAACCTGCTGCTGTATGTGGCCACGAGCCTTCATTACCATGAGCTCCACACACTGCGCCCAGCCTCCCAGGACGCACAGCTGTGCACCTGCAGTCCCCAAGCCCACATACCCACGTCCCAATCCATAATATGCTTTCGCACACCTTTGTCCTTTCTGAAATGGATGTGTGCCCCGTGTGCATCCCTCCCTGACCCCAGACACACCACATACCTATTACCCCACCATGGTTGAGCCTCTCCATCTCCTTCCCTCCCTGGAGAAACAGGCCATGCACCATGTGACACGCACACACCTTCACATCTCACACGGGTTGCCCAGGCACCTGCACCCCAGCCCCACCCTCACGGCCACCTGCACACCTGCATCCCTGCTGGCACCCTGCCAACATCCTCCGGGCTCAAGCACAGGCCCTCTGTCACCAAGAGTAGCTCCGCCTCCAGCTGTCTCTGGCAGACTGTGAGCACCGACATTGCACTTTCTGGTTTGTGGAAACCAGTGTCCTTCAGCGACACCAAGACTTTGGCAGGCTGCAGATCGTCCTTGACAGGAAATAGCAGGAGGCACATGCAGTCAGAGCTGAGTGAAGCAGAAGTCTGGATACTGTAAGCTGTGCTGAAGACTGCCCAGGCTGGAGCCTTGTTAGGCAGAAGGGACCTCATGAGGAATGCACCTTGCCTCTGCTCCATGCCCACAAGGTCAGAGTGCCAGGTTGAGGACCCAAGGCAGGGGGCATCCCTCCCATCAAGGCGGCTCACAGCACAGGGTGGCTGGAGGCATCTGGATCAGAAACTGCTCTGCCTGGGCATGTGAGGGGCAGTGTGCAGCTAAACCCTGATGTCCTCTACTCAAAAGCAAACAGGAATATTTTAAGAAGAAAAAGTCACATAGCGCTTTGTGTTCCAAAATGAAATGAGCTTAAAACATTGTATGCAGGAAATGCTTGTATAGCCATTTGATTAGATGAGAGGGAATCAATGCCAGTGATCCCCCCCCACATGTGACCCCTGGAGCACTTGAGGGGTTCCAATAATAACAAGTCTGACACTGTACCAAAGAGTGAGGCCCAGCCTGACTCCTGTGTAGGTCCCACATGGGCCCAGCCAAGCCAGTGCTCCACGCTCCCTCCTCTACCCTGCCAGGAGCCACCAACGGCAAATGTCGCCCCACTGTCCAGCACAAGAGAAGTCATCCAAGTTGCGAGATGAAAAGTAGAAGAACAAACTCAATCCCACGCTCCAGCCCAGCCCAGCTGCCCCTGCCGCATGCAACCCCAGCTCCTCAGGTGCAGAAGCTGGGCATCCGTGGCCAGCAGGGATCAAGGCCTACCTGTGGGCCTTGGCCGTGGGGGCCTCCGCTCCCCTGCTCCAGCCCGTCATCACACACAGCCTCTGCGTCCACACAGGCCTGCTGCTGGCCCAGCTCCGCCTGGCACCTCAGAAACCGGTGGCTCAGCGCCTGCAGCTGGCGGCTGAGGCGGACACACTGCACTCGTAACCGCTGGAGCTCAGGAGGCTCCTCCGGGGCAGCCCGAGGCTGCTGTTCAAGGGCGCAGCGGAAGCGGGCCAAGGCCAGCAGGACGGCCTCCAGCTCCGCGGAGTGCGCTGCTCTGCTCCTGTTCAGAGCACCGATTTCTGAATCTCTCTGCACAAGTGTTGCTTCCCTTGCCTTCAGGAGGGCCTCGAGCTCCTGGATCCGGGAAGCCATGCCCTGGACCTCAGCCTCCCTCAGGGCCACACTGTGTCCCAGTTCAGCCAGTTGCCGGGCAGCAGCCTCCTCTGCTGCTTGCAGGCGCTGCTGTAGGGCCTCCAGGGCCTCGCTATGTCCACGTGCCTGGTCGGCCAACAGCTGGCCCAGGGCCTCCTTGGCAGCACGTGCGGCCTCGAGCTCAGCCTGCAGCACCTGCCCTCCAGGGCCTTGGGCCTGGGAACAGAGAAGCTCACTGCGCAGGCTGCCCACCTGACTGTCACTGAGCTCATGGACCACGGGCCCCATAAGGGACAGCTCACTCTGCAGCTTCTCAATGACCTCATGCAGCTGTTCAATTTCTTCTGCTTTATCCTTTTGTAACCGTTCCTGGTTCTCTTGCAGATTTTCAATAATGGCTTTCAGCTCTTCAACCTCAGAACTTCTGCTGTACTCAACCTGAAGAGAAAGCACGTTTCAGAGGCCATTACCAAAGGAACCGCCCTGGACCTCCTCTTTCAACACACACATCAGCCTGAACCCACTCAGCAGGTAAGAGAGGTCAGACAACTCAAGGCATGGCACAGTGACAGGAGCAAAGTCACAGGTGGAGGGTGTACAGCTTCCCCACCTTCTGACTCCCGGGCTCTGCCTGGCCTAGCCCCTTTCCAAGACACTATAAAACAACGCTTTTGCCACCTTTAAGTGCTAACATTTAGATTCTTTGTTTCATTTTCCTGAAAGGGCCTTTAGGTTCTAGGTGTTACCCCAGCAATAGAGTAAGAGTGAAGAAAACTGGCCAGAGGGTCTGCCATCACCCAAGGGCTGGAAGCCACACAGCCCTGCCACCCAGAGGGTAAGCACGCTGGAAGAGTCCAGGGCTGCTGTCCTCAGGACACGGCTCAGGGTAAGGGCCCACGCTCCAGCTGCTGCCAGTGCTGGCTTGGCCAAGTGCTGGAAGAGCTTTCTAACCTATCTCAACAGTTCTATGGTACAGAATATCATAACTGTGATAAAGGTGATATGGCGATAAAGCTGGGAACATTGCAACTTGGACCTTATTTTCTCTCCAAACTTATAAAAACAGTGACTGGAAAATCAGGATTAAAATCTATGTCAATATGGCTCCAAATTCCATTTTCTTAAATCAATGGTAGTGACTGAAACAGAAAGCTTCTACCCAATTAGTGTTCTATAACAATTTTCAAACAATTTGTCATGGTCTGTCTGATGTACTGCTTTCCAAAACAGCTGAGGGCTCACAGCATTGCTCAGCTTCACTGGAGCTCCCTCCCAGTGGCTTCAACCAAAACACAAACGCAGCCCCCACACAGAAATAAGACCCCAGTGCACTTCTGGTCCCATTCAGGATGCTCTTAGCTGTTCCTGGCACTCACTCACCAGATACAAAAGCAACGCTGCATGCTTAGCAAAACACACTTAGATAATGGCCACGCCTCCTGCCCCTTAGCTGCTTTGCACACCATTCACCATCTGTTGCACAGACGGGGGTCTTGAGGACAGTTTTGACTGTGCAATCTCTGCTTACTCACCAATTGCTTCAACTACACTGGGGTACAGTGGCGTGCAACACGGGACTCGTAAGCCCAACACAGATACCACACTCAGGTGATTCTGAAGTGAAGCATCAAAGTCTGCCCTTGGTCCCCCAGACGCAAGGCAAGACGTGGGGAAAGGCTACGGTGCCAAAAGACAGCCAAAGACAGCTTCACGCTGAGCTGAAGGTGGACGCCACTGCAAGAACACATGTTGGACAGCCCTGTGCATGCTGTGGCTACTCCCTGGGGGTCCTCGGGAGAGTTGGCACTGGTAGGGGTCACCAAGGGCCAGGGAGGGCTGGAACATGGATTGGGAGGGCAGAGTGGGGAAAGGTGCTGCTAAGATCCATCTCATGAGACCTGACAGGAGACTGGGGCGGGGGGGGGGGGGGGGGGGGGGGGGGGGG